GTGTAGAAGAGAAAGATACTTGGAATATGCTTCCTTAAGGGAGGGGTCAGCATGATGGGGAGTAGTCAATTAGCGGGGGCGTAGTGAGTGAATAGGTTACACCCAGGAGGAAGGGATACTGTGGGAGATACTCAAAGGAGGAGTCAGATGGGGGTATTTTAATGAGTGGATAATACTCAGGGGTGGGGGAGTGGTCAATGAGTGGATGATATTTAGGGGTGGGAGAGGGGTCAGGGATTGGATGATACTCAGGGCTAGGGTAGGGGTCAGGAAGTGATGATACTTGGGGGTGGAGTTTTATTGTTGGAGGCTCCTCTGATTTTTACTGTTTGGGAGGTGCTGGTGAGGCAGGACATGAGGGAACCTCTAGGGGGCGCTCCAAATTAAATCCAGAGAGGAAAGGAGCACGGTACCGGTACTTCGAAGGCCATTGATAAAGCTGCACAATTGCAATACCATCACTTCTACATATATGGAGCCCGGCGCCGACTTCATGAATGTTCTTGGTTTCCGATGCAAGGAGGACCTGCCAGAGTCATGTGACCGACCTCTCTTCCTATCCCAAAGCCTGGGGTTATATCCTGTCAGAGTCATGTGATGACCTCTCTTCCTATCCCAAAGCCTGGGGTTATATCCTGTCAGAGTCATGTGACTGACCTCTCTACCTATCCCAAAGCCTGGGGTTATATCCTGCCAGAGTCATGTGACCGACCTCTCTTCCTATCCCAAAGCCTGGGGTTATATCCTGCCAGAGTCATGTGACTGACCTCTCTTCCTATCCCAAAGCCTGGGGTTATATTCTGTCAGAGTCATGGGACTGACCTCTCCTCCTGTCCCAGAACCCGGGGTTATGACCTATCAGAGTCATGTGACTGACCTCTCCTATCCTAGAGCCCGGGGTTATGACCTATCAGAGTCATGTGACTGACCTCTCCTATCCTAGAGCCCGGGGTTATGAATTATCAGAGTCATGTGACTGACCTCTCCTATCCTAGAGCCCGGGGTTATGAATTATCAGAGTCATGTGACTGACCTCTCCTATCCCAGAGCCCGGGGTTATGACCTATCAGAGTCATGTGACTGACCTCTCCTCCTATCCTAGAGCCCGGGGTTATGAATTATCAGAGTCATGTGACTGACCTCTCCTCCTATCCCAGAGCCCGGGGTTATGTTCTGTCAGAGTCATGTGACCGACCTCTCCTCCTATCCCAGTGTTCTGTGCGGGGTCCCTCGGACAGAGATGTCCGCCCTCCAATATTAATAATCTGATGAGCAGACATTTCGCGGAGTGAAGCCGATGTCACCCCATCCGTGAAATCTCAGATCATCTCTAACATGTGACATCATCTCATCCTGTTATAGGGTGACAACGTTCTGTCCTTTTCTCACAATTGTGCTTCTGTGTTGTCACCTGTAACACGGGCTTCCAATAATGACTACAAGAGGCCGCTTCTACACACATTGCTCACTGTTGTCACCATTTGGAATCCCGCCCTGAGAAATACCAACTCAGTCGGTGCTGTGCCTCAGTAATAATGATTCGTATGTGGGGTCGGTGCGATGCCTCAGTAATAAGGATCGGTATGTGGGGTGCCTCGGTAATAAGGATCGGTATGTGGGGTGTCTCAGTAATAAGGATCGGTATGTGGGGTGCCTCAGTAATAAGGATCGGTATGTGGGGTGCCTCAGTAATAAGGATCGGTATGCCAGTCGTGCAGTGATCTGTGCTGTGTGTAGTTGGGGTCGGTCAGGCTGCAGCAGACGCGGGGTTAACTCCTCCTGCAGGCCCGGCTCTCCCAGAATGCATTGCGGCAGCCCAATGTTTTGCTGTTGAGGCCGCCCTGACCCCATGATGTCACCGTCACATGACCACGCTGCTGCTGCTGTATAACCAGCCCTCTGCCTGCAGTTCCTGCTACAGTCAGATCAACGATGCACAGCGAGGCCTGACACTGGGCCAAACAGGCACAACTCAGCACCCAACAGGCGGCACCCAGCACGGCTAGCACCCAAAGGCTGCACTCAGCACGGCCGGCACCCAACAGGGAGCACCCAGCACAGGCAGCACCCAACAGGCAGAACGCAGCACCCACTACAGGCGGCACCCACTACAGGTGGCACCCAACAGGCAGAACGCAGCACCCACTACAGGCGGCACCCACTACAGGTGGCACCCAACAGGCAGAACGCAGCACCCACTACAGGCGGCACCCACTACAGGTGGCACCCAACAGGCAGAACGCAGCACCCACTACAGGTGGCACCCACTACAGGTGGCACCCAACAGGCGGCACCCAGCACGGCTAGCACCCAATAGGCTGCACTCAGCACGGCCAGCACCCAATAGGCACAACTCAGCACCCAAAGGCTGTACTCAGCACGGCCAGCACCCAAAGGCTGCACTCAGCATAGCCGGCACCCAGCACGGCCGGCACCCAACAGGGAGCACCCAGCACAGATCACCCAATAGGCAGAACTCAGCACCCAGTACAGGCGGCACCCAGTACAGGCGGCACCCAACAGTCAGAACTTTCCTGCAGTGCCAGTCTTTTATGCTACAGGCAGTCAGCAGTGCTGGGCCCCAGGTGAAGAGAACTGTTCCGGGGCCCCTTTGCTGTATGTGGTCAGCAATTCCCACACTGGAGCCCTGAGCTGAGCAGACGCAGCACGCAGGGAGTCATCCTCATCTGTTATCACATACCAGTGACCAGACTGGTTCCCAGATCCCCTCCCCCGCCCACTTCCTGTCCCTCTCCTGGGGAGGGGAGGGGGGGAGGCTGGGCAGGTGTACTGGGCCCCGGAGAGGCCAACACTTCATAGGGAACCACACGTAAGTGGCCAATCCACTCACTTGAAATAATATTCCATCATAATGCCCCCTCTGTGTCTGTATGGGGCCCCCTCTGTGTCTGTATGGGGCCCCCTCTGTGTCTGTACAAGGGTTGCTTAGATCCCTGCTCATTATATGTGTCCACAAGCCACTGCGTCTCAGACCGGTCGTTATGAGTCTTTGCATGTTTTCAATACTTCAGGGGTCTCATGCTTGGGGCCCCCAGAGGTCCCAGTAGGCGGGGCATCGGTCTGCCACCGCGGTCGTCTCGGGTGACCCCCGCTTCCTGCGACCTCCTGCTGGCTCCTGAAGGGACACCCTGTGCAGTCTCTTGTAATGTGCAGTTCTTTGTAACATGGCCGGGTATACAAGCAGTTCAAAGTTGGGTCATGGGAAGGGCCACCATAGATTGGGGTCCACAGACACAGGGGCCCCCCAGGTTGTGTGTCATCTGGTCTCCTGCCCTCCCCCCACAGCTTGTAGAAGGGTCATTCTGGTCCGTGTAATATTCACACATGTATGTTCTGTCTTTCTAGGCCCATCTGTGTAGTCCACCATGGGCGACATGAAAACCCCGGACTTCGACGACCTGCTGGCGGCCTTTGACATTCCAGACATGGACGCCCGCGAGGCCATCCACTCCGGGCCCGAAGATGGCGAAGGGCAGGCCAAGGCGGCGCCGGGGGAAGCGGTCATCTCCGACCACGGACTCCCTCACGCCGACATCACAGCGGTCAGCGTCATCGTCAAGAACACGGTGTGCCCCGAACAGGCGGACCTCCTCGACATGCATGGGAAAGACGTGCAGGGCCTCGGGCCCCGTCTCCTCCAGAACGGGTTCAACAGCCCGGAGGTCTCCCGGTCGTCTGGGCCCGCAGCTTCTAATGGCGGGGAGAGCTGGGCACCCAGGGCCAAAGCCAAACCCATCGACCTGTACACTGACTTTTCCCCGGTGGAGAATCCCCTCGATAGCCATGTGGCGGACTTAATCGACCGGCCGCGTGACGTTAAGCCAAAGGAGAGGCCGTTATTTGAGACCCCCGATACGGTTCTTTGCCCCCCTCCCAGCGATTCCCCGGCGGAGGGCGGACTTAGTCTGACGAGGGTCCTCCCCCAAGCCTTTGGCATGGGCAAGATGACAACGGGCCTGAGTCTAAGTACACACGTCATCAAGGAGGAGCCTGTGGAAGAGAGTCCGCAGAGTCCAACAGAACCAAGAGGGAGTCCATTGCAGCACGCCAACGTTCACTACCCTACTAGAGAACCTCCCATTCCTTCCTGGACCGACTCCGAGCAAAAAACAGACGGTGACCACAAAATGATCTCACCGGAAAGTCCAGAAGATGTGTCCCTCAAGACGCCGACAAAAACGGCACCAGACGTGGAGTTCTTGGAGGTCCTAAAAGAACCGGAGACCAACGTACCGGGGGTGAAGGAGGAACCATGCTGGAGTCCAAAAAGCTTGGCCAGTGACCTGGAGGAGGAAGAGGGTATCAGTTCACCGTCTTCCAATTCGTCTAGGCCCCTCAAAGTCCGGATCAAGACCATCAAGACCCAGTCGGGGAGCATCACCAGAACGGTCACGGCGGTGTCCTCCGACTCGGACACAGTGGCCTCTGCCGCCACGTCCGAGGAGTCTTCGCAGCTTCCCGTTTCCGAGTCCAGCCAGGAGGCCCCCGCGGAGGCCAAACAAGACGATAAGGTCCAGTCTCTGCAGAAGAGCGACCTACCGAGTCCACCCAAAGCAGAGGCGTCTCCGGTGGTCAAGCTCCCGCTAGGCAACGGGGTCAAGTTTCAAGGCCCCATCCTCCCCGTGTCCACTATTCAGAACGCCAGCAGCGTCATGCTGATGGCCGCCAGCGTGGCCCAACAGAAGGCCGTGGTCATGCCTCCGAAGGCCAGCAAAGTGGTGGCCAAGAACATTTTCCACCTGGTCCAGCAGCCTCTCCCGACCAGCCTCGCCCTCACCAACATAACCCTGGCCAGCCAGGTGTCCACCACCGCCCCCATCACCACTACAACCAGCCCGCAACGCAACGCTACAGTAGTCATGGTGCAGTCCCAGAAAGCCACGACGCCTGTGGCCGGCACCGTCATCTCCCGAACGCAGTCCAGTTTGGTGGAGTCCTTCAACAAGATCCTAAACAGCAAGAACTTGCTTCCGACGTACAAGCCGAACCTCGTGCCGCCCGCCGACTCCAGCCTCAGCCTTCCGGTCTTCGGTTTCCGGTGCCTGGAATGCGGGGACTCGTTCGCCTTGGAGAAGAGCTTGGCCAGGCACTACGACCGGCGGAGCATGAGGATCGAGGTGACCTGTAACCACTGCACCAAGCGCCTGGTCTTCTTCAACAAATGCAGCCTGCTCCTGCACGCCCGCAAGCACAAGGACAACGGCCTGGTGATGCAGTGCTCCCACCTGGTCATGCGGCCCATCGCCCTGGAGCAGATGATCGGGCAGCCGGACGTCACGCCTCTGGTCTCCGTGGCCGTTGTAACTCCCGGGAAGGCTTCCACCCCTGGCCCCACCCAGGACGCCGCCCCCGAGGCCGCCCCGGCTAGCTCGCCCGGCGAGCCCGCGCTTCTCCCCGAACAGTCCACCTACTCCACATTCCGGTGCCTGGAGTGCAAGGAGCAGTGCAAGAACAAGGCTGGGTTGGCGCAGCACTTCCAGCAGATCGCACCCACCGCCACTAATGGCAGCACGGTATGTAGCCGAGACCTCGCAGGGTACAAAGCGGCCAATCACGTTTCATGTTACTGCAGAGTGAGGTCATTTCAGAGGGTTTAGCAGCAGGAACTCCTGACTGATCCTGCTGTTATCTCTCTCTGACATGGTATCAAGTGAATTTCCCCTTTAAGTGGCGTTTTCTGATTGGCTGTTGTGGGTTACTTTGCATATTGGCACAGCGAGGGGTATCCCAGTTTATATGGCAGTCACTTCAATCTGTTTACAGGATCCCTCATTGGGGTTGTAGACAGGAAGTCAGCTGTACGGAGGCAAATATCTTCCCCTTAGGATCCAAATAGGGATGCACCGTTACCGGTATCAGTGCCGATCGGGGGTTTTTCATGAGTACGAGTACCTGCCCCGATGATAAACGCCGATACCGGCACTTTAATTGTTTTAAACTGAAGCAGCTGCCTGAGGTCCCGCACTTGCTGGGGACCTCGGCAGCCTTCCTGTTTACAGCGCCGGCCGCACATCTCCTCCACCTTCCTGGGGAACTACAGATATCTGCTTACAGCACTTCCGCTGCCAGCAGGGCCCTCCGGACCCCTGGTGAGACCCCGCACAGCCCACCTGAGACCCAGCACAGCCCACCTGAGACCCCGCACAGCCCACCTTGAGCCCCCTTACATTCCTCCTGAGCCCCCGCACGTCTCTCCTGAGCCCCCTTACATCCCAACTGAGCCCCCTTATATTATTCCTGAGCCCCCTTACATTCCTCCTGGGACCACGCACATCCCTCCTCAGACCCCGCACATCCCTCCTCAGACCCCGCACATCCCTCCTCAGACCCCACACATCCCTCCTCAGACCCCGCACATCCCTCCTCAGACCCCGCACAGCCCACCTGAGACCCCGCACAGCCCGCCTGAGACCCTGGTGACATCAGGCCACCACCCAGAGCAACACAGAGTATGTAGCTTCCTATTATTCTGCATTGCTGTATAATGTATTGCTAGGATTTGTAGTCCCTCTACAGCTTGGAGCCAGTGGCAGAACTACCAGGGTCGCCGAGGTTACAGCTGTGACCGGGCCCTGGCACTCCACCACTGTCCTAAAATCATTCGTCTGTATTGTTTTAGAAAAACTGTCACATGACCCTAAAAAAACAAGTGTCAGTGATTGGTATTGGTGCAGCCCTAGATCCAAGTTTGCTTCGTTAGTGCAGATAGTCTGACCACTCAGGTCCGAAGCTTCACCGCTGATAGTAATGGCGGTCTCATCTATGAAAGGTCTGTGTTTCCCATACTGACCAATCTGACTCTTCCATTCCCTTTCCCATACTGTACTCAGAGAAAGAACCGGCAGATCTGATTGGTTGGTATGGAATGACAGGCCTAGGTAAATGTTCCTTCAATCCCAATGATGTATAAGTCTCCAGGTCACACGTCTGTCAGCCAGCATGCTGGAAACAATGGAAGCAGTCATGTGCGTTACGAATGTTTTCAGTGGGATGTAATTGCAGTTCGGCTTTACCGATTGCCGTGTTCTTTCTGGCAGGTGTGCTCCCTTTGCCCCATGATGATGCCCAATCGGTGCAGTTTTGAGGCTCACCAGCGCATGCACAAGCAGACCTCGCCCAACGTCTGCCCCGAGTGCGGTGGCAACTTCCGCATCGAGAACTTCCAGACCCACCTGAAGGAGACCTGCCTGCACTTCGCCCGGAGGATCGGTTACAGGTATTGGCGGCGTCCGAGCAGGAAATGTGCCGCGGGGGGTCTTCTGCCATGTCACTAACCTCCCCCTCTGCCTTCCCCCCCTGCTTCACAGGTGTCAGAGCTGCGCACTGGTATTCGGAGGCATCAATTCCATCAAGTCTCACATACAGACTGCTCACTGCGAGGTCTTCCATAAGTGCCCCATATGCCCCATGGCATTCAAGTCTGCCCCCAGCGCCCATGCCCACATATTCACCCAACACCCGGGATTCAGCAATCAGCAGGCCAAGTAAGTTACATCAAGGGGTGTATAGGAAGGGAGCATGGCTCTGGGGGTTTGTTGGGTGGGGGTTGATGGATCTGGGGGTGTATAGGAGGGGAGCGTGGCACTGGGGGTTTGTTGGGGGGAGGG